TGCTCCGCCCACGTGGAATATGAGAAGATGTCGGGCGCCGTGCAATGACTCTTCGACGGCTTCATATGATTGATTTTGTTACGAACTTCTCTGAGTTCGAAGCATTTTCTTTGAAAATAATCAAATCTTCTTCTACTAGTAGTTCTTTCCTTCACTCTCCTCCGTTATGGCTCTCTTACCGTGAGAGAAACTATACCCCTTTATCACGCTTCCAGGCTTCAATACTCACACCGTGTTGTTGTTGTTTGTTGTGTTGTTTGTTGTGTTTCGAGGTCTTCACATTCACGCTCAAGCCTTCGTAATTAGAAGACAAAAAGAAGCCCTAGAACAAGATGGACTGATACACGGGCAAAAAGCAGCGCCCAGTCTCGTCAAGTCGAAGCCCAGCGGGCATAAAGCATGTACCCGCTTGGGCCATGGCTTGAGAAGGCTGAGCGCCAAAGTTCACATAAATCTTGGTATATGGCCAATCTCTTCAATCTCTTCAATTCGGAATTCAATTCAATTTTGAATAATGACCTGCGCCCCGAGTTCTATTCTTCCTATAGCGGAAGCCCTTTATTGTGCAGAGTATCACAAGGAAAGGAATGAGGAGTCAGGAATTCAGTATATTCACGGCATAAGAGGTAGTGAAGAAAATAAGCACTTGTTTTTCAATGCCTTCATATTATAATAAATACTACAGACTTTCATATTCTGATGGAAATTCGAGATGCTAGGGCTTGAACGCAGAGTCCAGGATGAAGCAGATGCGCTATTGTGCTTTTTTGTGCCAATGCGAAACGTGGAGTGGAACGCCAGTAATAAAAAAGGGAAGAAACCGTCGACAAGGACGGAAATAACGTCCCCCTTCAGTAGCGAAATTGATTTGTGGGCGGGCTGTACAACTGTGGGCGGAGTATCTGCTGAGTATTTTGAGCTTTGCTTGGTGTCACACCTTTTTCACCAGTTTTTAATCAAAGTCTATTTGTAAGGGTTACTGACGGTCCTAATCATGAATATGGTACTAATTATTCATGCTAACTCCATTTTGCGCGAATTTTGAAACGTCAACTCGAAATGCAAAAATTTGTCACCACGAGGAATCGAACTAGGGACCCCTTTTCTGGTATTCAGAGGGCCGTTCAGGAAAAATGAACCATGGTTCTGTGGTTCCCGCATGTGCCCCTATATCATGCAAAAGACCGTTTTCAAAAAGCTTGGCACGCCCTGAAAGACCTTCCTGGTAAGCTAAACCGCAAGTCAGTGTCTTCTTCCTCCTGGACAATCCGGAGCACATTAATAAATCTGAAGAGATGGGAACTTTGGTTAGCTTTGCATGATTCAATCTGGGAGCTGCCCCCATGGGGGCTGTGCGCTTGGTGCATAACCTCACCGTTGCCCCAGCTCCTCGACCCTCTCTCCTTCCCCGTCTTGATAAGTGAACTATGTAAATTTTGTAGATTGCAGAATCTAAATAGATATTAGCGGTCTGTTCTACACTAATCTCACTTACTGTATATATAAGAAGGAGACTACCGCTGCAAAGATCCCGTCATGTTACCCGCTTCAAAAGGAGTTATGACCGGGCGACGGTCTGCGACGCTGCAAAACCGTCGCAACGCGTAGATGTTTCGAAAGTTAGGAGCACGATTGTACCTACTTATACCCCTACTCTCCGGCGCATGGCAGCACCATGATCTCCCTCCCTTTCTCCTCTCCCCTTCCCTCCCTCTCTCCCCCTCCCCTTCTGCTTTCCCCCTCCCCTCTACCGCCCGCCGACTCCGGCTGCCCCGGCAGCACCATGTAGAATGAGGCTGTGTGCTCGTTCGGTGTTTTTGTAGCCATTGTGGGTGTTATCACAATCACCACATCAGGTTAGAATAATACGTCAACATGAATATAGACCTTACTCTTAAAACGGTCGTTCTCTCTCAGTCTCTCCTCCCCCACCTCCGCCCTCCGTATACCCTCTTCAACGAGACATGGCAGCGCCATGATCTCATTACGGTGGGTCACCTAATGCTCAATATTCTGAAGGCGGTGTGAGCAGTGAAGGAGGGTCAGTTTTTGCATATAGGGAACACATAAGGAAAAAGAAAATGAATCCCAGCAACAGTGTCACCTTGCGTGACGAGAAACTGCGTGATGTGCGCCATAGCCGAAGTGAGTTTTTTGGCCCTCTGCACCAATAAGAAAGATTCTTGAGTCAAGGACCGCCGAATCGCAGGCATGCTTCGTGGATGAGGTTGTCTTCACGTTGGTCCGATTTCAAGATGCTTCAGATTTCCTCTTTCAGTGATTTTCCACACGAATCCCCCTCACCTCATCACTGTTCCTGTTAGTGTAGAGTCCACACATTCAAAAAAGTGTGCCATAATGCCCAAACACGAGCCTGACTTTTGTCTTTAAGATTCGAGTTGTTGTAACATTCTTCAGATTGAATTTTTCGTAAATCTTCAACATACATAGAGGACGGCGAGTTTAGATTTTTCTGAAGAATACAGATGTTTCTAGCTCTGCTGGGTCGAAAAAGGTTAGGTTCTCCGTTTTGTTCAATTTTGACAACACCTCCTACGACCTGGGTCACTTATTCTAGACGGCGGCTCCACTGAAGCTCTCCATCAACTTTGAACGAATGGCTCCAGAAAAAAAAACTCGCACGGACACTAAAGTATGGACAAAATCCCCTTTGGCTGCAATGACTGCAAACGATCTTTACCAGCAGGGGCGAACACCTTTCCCGTTTCCATTTTGTTGGGACACCATGTGATCTCATTTCTTTTGTAGTTGATCTGTAACCTACGCGACCTGCTAGATTTTGACCAGAGATCTGGCGGGCCAGTACGGTATATAAGTGTACAGTTTCATTGTAGTTCAGTTCAATGTCTTCTAATAAATATTCTGTTACTGACCGTCTTCCGAAGGACACAACACATTTATTCTTTGAAATCACTTTATTATATAAATCACAATTTAGTGTGTTGATTTGCTTGTAAGTTTGTCTGTGTGCTTGTCCGCAAAATGAAATGAGTGATAAGGCAGCTAATGGAATAACAAGCCGCTAACAAATCTGGGTAGCTCGCAGGGCTTGCCTGTCAATGTTTTGTAATGGCACGATTGTGATAACACCTCAACGGCTGTATAAACTTCTACGATGCACACTTTTGGTCATTCCTCAAGGTGCTGCAGTGGCAGCTGGAGAGCAATGGAGGAGGGAAGCAAAGATTACGCAGAGGAGGTACGGCGATTGCCGAGGACCAAGCTGATTTTTTCAAAGTAGAAGTTGTGCAAGAATATCTGTCAGAGGATCAATTCCAGCTTTCCTTGACAGATATTTCATTCCTTTTCTGGTATCCACAGGCCCGCTCAGAAATAATTGAATATATCTCTATGTCCCATGTACTTGCCCCCTCCAATGCCGGAGAAGATTCTGCGAAAGCGCTCCTATATCCTGAAAGACTTTCCTGATTAGAAGGAGATAACCCAAGATGCAAAATTTTGTGATCAGCCAAGATCGATCCCTTAGATGATCCATTTTTCGTTTTATCTATTTCAAAGGCTATTTTAGGAAAAGCCCTCCATATCCTGGGAGAGCTTTTTATGCTTTTGGTTTGTGATAACATCACA